GCATGCTGTTCAGTTCCATTGCAATGCTACCTCAAATCTGCACTGAATCCGAATAAAACAGCGTTTGTTGAACAGCCCACCGAGCAAGTAGGCTGCGATGAGGGTCGAATCATCGAATCTCTCAGCGGTTTGAAGATTTCCCTCATATGAACGATAATGACACATCACTATGGTGGTGAAGTGCTTCATTTGACAACAACGAATGCGAAGTATACAACGTGCAATACTAAGTCATCTCTATCAGTTACCGAACACCATCAAACATTAGATTTCTAATAACTGAGGAACGCATGACCGTCATGTTATGCAGTTTCTGTTTTGCCAGGGCCAATTCGCGTGCAACAACTGAAGCGTTCACAGCGGCAATGATACACAGGGTCTTCCCGTCGTCGATGTCTAGCTGCATAGCTCCGCACGCAAAGTGCGATGATGCATGACTCTTTACCACCAGTTGCAACATTCCCAAAGAAAGACACTTCCGGCTTGCTGCAACTCATTCTAGAATAACCTCATTTTGCGCCAAAAAAAGAATCTGCTACTCAGAGTTTTTTCGTCATGCCCCGTGAAATTTGAGCTTTCTTGTGATCCAGTGTAGAAGTGCTCTCTGGTCTAAACGAACATCTGCTACGTTGCCAGAGGATGAGCAGAGAGGAACTTCAGCCAAAGATCATTTTTCACAGAAAAGGCGGAAATTAACTCTTCATTAAAGTTGCCGCAGGTGCTAGACAGAATCGACTTTCAGCAGTACTTGGCATTTGTTGGCTATCTGTTACAGTACTGCTTCACGTTTATACCTGGCCTATGTACTGTAAATGTCTCAGGGAAAGAAAAGTTTCATTCACAGTTACTGACTGTCCATCCACCTCTATGGTTGTCTCATTTCTTTGGTTGTCTACGTTGGGATGCCAAGGTTTAATTTTTAATTTCTAGCTGAATGAATTTATGTCAATCATATGCACCCAGCACGTTCAATGAAATTTTGCTATTCACGCCCTCTCTGGCTTACACAGCATGCTTTTAACATATACATGTTTGCCTTGATACATGAAAAGGTCTGCTAATCCACAATCACCTCTTGTTTATTAACTGGCAGATTCATAAGAGACCGTATTCTTATATTTGTGGAAATTTGAAAGAACGTACTGAAATATTGGGGGTGTAGTGTCAGTTACTTTGGTTATCACCCTATCCGTTTGATGTTGTAACAGACTAGATTAAAACAGAAATAATGTTCCTGCAATGTAACGGTACTCCTACAGCAATAGTCATTCATTCTATTCCTTCAGTATCTGTGTCGTGCATACCACCTACGCACCATAAACTGTGGCTTGCTTAAACGGTACCTCTCTAGTCTTGGAGGAGTTGGATATATCCGGATTTTGTTCAACCCTGCTCAGTGATCAGTGAGTTTCGTACGTATACACTGTACGAGCTGTGAACTACTGAGCCGTGACTTGTTTAAGCGATTCCTTAGATTGCTAAAGACAATAAAACAACGCCTTTGGCGTGCGGAATCCGGAGAATTGACAAAAAGTTTAATTTCTACCAGCGGTATCAAAATATTTAATAGGAATTATTTAATAGGATTAATTCATGATATCAGGGTTATTTTTGTGCATAAAAATGAAATAACAGGAATTTGATTTTGCAAGGTGGCAATATTGGTTGGACCATCCTCAACTATTGCAAGTATGTAAATATAGGAGTAAGAGTATGTAGAACATACAGTGAAGTAGAACGCAACAGAATTGTATAAAAAATTGAATGCGCACATATAGCAGAATCAAGTCCTTTCGAATGAAAAAACTTTCTGCCGATTTGCTACTTCCAATTTCTTGTTAGCTGACTGTTTTGGAGTTGATACTGTTGTGGCTGTCTTTGTCATCTGAGGTATCAGCGTCAAAAAGCGAGTATTCAGGCAAATGATGTCTGACTCTTTGACTCAATGCCGAAATGATTTAAGCGACGCTGACCTGCGGAAAGGGGTCATATTCATCGCTGTAAACAAGTCTGCCTCTAGCAGGTGCATTAGGATGTGAGGATGTGACGTTAGCCTCTGAAGACTTGAAGATTCCTTATCTTCAAAAGTTACAAGTTTTATTACACTATTCGAGCTGTCAGTCGCTTAACTCAGTTCCTGTCCGCTTTCGGTGCGTTGGAAGTGAACATATGCAGGTTCAGATTTACATTAGCTACTCAATATTCATGCCTTGCTCCAAAATAACTCACCTATTTCTCATGACATGCAGCAGAAGCTTAATATCATGATTTTCTATATTGTCTCACGAACATATATATTTCTCGATGCTCATTTCAGTGCTGTGTCTTATTCTTCGAGACGTTGAAGCTTTTGACATCTTAGACATAGGGAAACAGATATAGGGTGGCTTTCAGTTCAACTGCCGAAATTTCACTCAAACTACGCTATCAATTATCAATGCAAATTTGAGGAAAATGAAAATGAACATAATAAAGAAATATGAAATTGGACAAATCTTATGATGTGACCTTGGTCTAGCACCATCATAAAAAATACAATAGCATAGGATGCTTCCTGTATAAAAAAATGTTAGAGGATCTGCCTCTTTAAATAAAGAGGATGGAAACAGCATATGAAACAAGTTGATTTACTACTGAATACAGCAAGTTTGCAAGCAGCAGGATGTGCTTCACTGGTGGACATGGGATAAATCCAACATATGCAACTTTTCTGCTGCATAATGGTTTGAAGAACGCATCTTCTAAGCCGATTGGAGTGTGGCTGCATTCGCAAATTGCAGCACGTTTGGGATCGTATATAATATGCTATGTTCAACAATCAGTTTTTATAACATTTCTATAAAATTATTCATGTGATATCACCCTCCTCTGCCAATGATGCATGAATGTAGTCTAAATTATTGGGCGATACATAAATAGTGCAGAACAGAGCATTTAAATACTTTTTGAAAAAGAAAAATTAGCTGGCCTTACGCGTCTCGACATGGTCCGGAATAGTGACATCCGGAAGAGCCTTGGTATACAGCCTTTTGTTTCTCCATTCCCACAGCTGCGATGGCTTGGGCATGTGTTGCGAATGCCTCCAGAAAGGAAGGCTATGCAACTGTTTTTTTGTCAAACCGACCGGCAGAAAACCCAAGGGACAGCCAAGATTAACCTGGTGCAAACATATGGAACGAGTTTGTTCCAGGCTGCATTTGTCTTTTGCCGAAGCTCAGACTCTGGCACAGGATCGGGAACGTTGGAAGCACTGTCTGACTCGCGCGACCCGAAAGGAGAAGCGGCGATGGAAGATGAAGACGAAAGAAGAATTAAAACTGTTTCAGAGCCCTGATCAATAGATTATTACACAGATCCCAGTATGATACAAATGTTGAAAATTTATCCCATAAATAAAGTGTCGATCATG